TTTTTGCATCTCATTCTATCGATTCTTGCTTCAATATCTTTGAAACCTCACTGAGGTTTTGGAAAATATCTCGTCTAATTTGAGCTAAAACTTCACAAAACGAAGAAAAACATTTCGTCAGATATTTTCGAAAAAAAACTATGAAGTCCGTGTCATCAGTTCAATACAGTTCATCGCAATCGTTCACTAAATATTCCTTTGCGAAAAAAAACTATGAAGTCCGTGTCATCAGTTCAATACAGTTCATCGCAATCGTTCACTAAATATTCCTTTGCAAGATGGATGGATTTGTTTGGATGAATCGATAATAATCAGATATGTTTTTACAAGGTGCCTCCAATCAGACAACCGTAGATTGACACTTAACTTGCGCTGTCTTTTCCGCAACTTGTTTCGCGAAAACAAAACGTTGCAAGRAGCGCTCTCTACGTGTGACAAGTCCTATTTTAAACTTTTTTTGAAAGAAATGTTTGTGTGATCGAAAAATTGGCAATTTATTGATCACTCTTCTTGGTCCCTGACAGTCATCACATTTCTCAGTTTCTCCTTTTCAAAATGAAATAAACATTTCGGACATGAAGTCTAGTATCATCAGCATGCATTCTAGGAAAAGAAGCGGCCCTAAAACGGTTCCCTGTGGCACACCGCATGTGATGCTGAACCAGACTCGTACCCAGTCGTTACTCCTTATTTTTCGCAACGCTCGAAGAGGTTGATGGGAAGGCGGGAGAAAAAGTAAGCTTCGCGCTTTCCCTTTGCCCTTCCCTTGATGCATTGCTCGTCTCTAAAAAAGCCGGAGAAGCGACTGGGTACGAGTCTGATGCTGAACTCCTCAGAAGGTCTAAATACTATTAGCCATTTCGGAGTTATGAAATGAATTGAAATTTCTGTCATATTGAGCCAATCGAAAAACTACCCATATCACTAATCAAGCCGCCAATGGCGACACAACTCGAAGACAATAAATCTGGACATAAGTCTATATAAAGCCTCTTACGAAGGATAAAGTTTACATGAATCGATGAGAATTAAATCACTAACGGACGTGGATCGGAATAATCCTTGAAATCATCGCAATAGGAATGCTGTATTTATGAGCCATATTCACACGATATCTCCTAAAACGACTTCTGAAATCAACAGATTCTTATACAAGAACTTCCAGACCTCAAAAATCACATTTTGTGTGTTTAAAAATCCATTTCTGTATCAAAACACCTGGCCATCTTGGTTACGGATTTCTAAATGCCCGTATGTTTACAGAAAAAAAATTAGTGACTAATTAACTAGTCCCCTTCACACATCATCTCCCTCATCTCCCTCCTATAACTCTTCGATTGCTTCGCAATCTTCGAGTTAAAAAGACTTTATCGACTTTAGTGTAGGTTCCAAGTTACAGATCATTTGGACAAATATTCAATTAATGAGAAGCCGTGCAATTTACAGAGAATGTATGGGGATTTTGAAAGCGTCCCCCAAAACAATACATTCTCTGTTAATTTGATGAAACTAGGAATAAATACTGTTCAGCTAGTTTTTATCCAAACGTTTTGAAACTTGGTATATTTACTAATGTTTGGGTGTCCTTTCATGGGGTGGGGTTTGTTTCGTGATTAGATCAATATTTCTTTGATTAGTGCTCAGTCCCCTGGGTAACTCCGAAATGGCTAATAGAATTGACCAATCCATTTCGTGGCCATTAGCGTATAGTAGGGCTGCAATTGAATGGAGCGATCGAAAGCCTGATTGATGCTGCGACAAAAATTTCTTGTTGATGACTACTGGTTTTGTGGTTATAGACTACTCGCTCAATCAATTTCGTTATTGGAACTATTGAAACTAGGCAATAATTAGAAGTGCAGTCGAATCTTTACTTACGGACGCGCCCTGTAAGCTGCCGTAATCTGTTTGTTCGTTTTTAGATCCCTTTCTAATAGACAGACATTTCTACTTGCGGACAATATTTTCGCTTCAAGGGTGTCCGCTTACGGGAGATTCGACTGTAACATTTCGTTTCCCTGAATTTTTGTTGTCGTAAATCTAGCTTTATTCCGATGAACTGGAAAAAAGGCCTGATTTATGGACTCGTTAAAAAATTTGTTTTCCACAGTGAGCAAAGCGAACCCGTGCTTCTCGAAGACCTTGAATCGAATCAACTCTGACATTAAAAGGCGCATGCGAGGTCCAGAAATKGTCTCGAAAACAAAGCGGTCAAAACTGGTGATTACAATCTTTGGGACTCTTATAAGAAAATTCGAAATCAGGAAAATAACGAAGTGAAATAAGCTAAGAAAT